ATTAAACTGTTCAATTGATGATGAATAATTCTTTAGATCTTTCAATATAATTTGTTCTTCAATATAGTTTGTTCTTCTAGGTAAGGCCGAGAAACACTAATAGATAAGCTCAGATTCATTTTCGGCTATTAAAAATGCTAGTTTCATGAAATGTTCGCGTTATTTATTCTCTCCCGTGTGACGTAACTATAGGTCAGTTTCTTTTATAAAGTACTCATAAATGCACGCTTTTTAATCCGCAGAGCTCTCTGGTATGCTTTGTTATAAACAAATAATCTTAGCCTAGCCATCTTTTAACATATCTTTAGCCATACATGAAATATTGTAAAAATTCGATAAGAGTAGTAATATTCCTCTACCGCTTCAACTACTCCCTAACTGCTTCAGGAATGCTTATGTTTTAGAAGAAAAGGAGAACGGTTATTTACTGCGACATGCAAGTAAATTAAACAATGATGAGTTATTTCATGTGTAGTAAAGATGCTAATTTAAAATAGTAAATGACTAGCAGACCTTTTCCGTCTTAAATAACAAAATATGAAATTTAATATTATTAAAACTTTAATCTAGGTTTTTTTCCTATAGCAGTCGTATTTATTGTCTTTTACGCTTATCTTTTTAGTTTAGATTTAAAATTCGGTTGTAAACTTTCAGCAGCATAACAAATGTCTTCGTAATATCGCTAAAAGTATACACTAGTTCTAGAATTGCAAATCAGCCTTCATCTCTAAGTTTCACAGTGTGCTTATAATTAGAGTTGTTCCTACTTTTTGTGTTGAATGCATAAAAAATGAAAAATAATAATCAATTCATACATAAGCATTAGCTGAGAAAATATCTGAAAGCAATAATTTTATATGCTTTTGCGCGCTTTACAACGCTTTGAGTAGCGACAACAGCTGTTAAGAACAGTTAAAGTTTATTTATATCTTCTATAAACTGCAGTACTGAAAATAATTACCTATATATTTTTTCGCTCGTTATTGTTATTATGAACGTTTAATATGTCAGTGACACTTTTTAAAAGCGTTTGAGTAAAACTGCATGTAGAAATTCGGATTCCATAAAACCAAATAAGAAATATTAACGGATATTGAAAGTTTTACTGATGTCAACGATATTTTACTGAGTTCAGACAAGTCCTTGCGGTTTTTGAGACTGATTGCAAGAACTTGGTTCACACCTGGGTACCAAGCTAATCCTTATCTGCCGAATGAATAGAATAGTGGTGCGAGAGATGTTTACTCCATTATGAACTCTTATTAATTTGCCATTCTGGTAATTATTGTTATTAATAAACAGATGGGTTCTCTAATGTGCCGTAAATTGATTGTTATGTGGTATACGATTAGGCTGTAATTACTGTTACGTAGCGTAAGCCTCTTAGCAAATACATATCAAAAAATTTGTTAGCAAATACATATTAAAAAAATTACTATTATTATTATGGAATCCTCCTATAACCTATTCTGTTTTTCTCACGACTCCGCAACCACAGTCAAGAAACTTATTATGAAACATATTTTTATGGTATTTATCTAGAGCGTAATCAGCATGTTAATTGAATTTTCTATTTAAAAAGAAATTTAGGGATGCTTTTCTTTTACCGATCACCTACGCATTTTGTCCCTTACCTTTCCCCAGCAAATGTAATATATAACATGCGTAACATTCAAAACAGATTTCATAATTTTTTTAATAAACCCAGTTTTTTTTCCTAAGAAGCCTGCAGCTGCCTCTTCGTCATGCAAACACTTTTGAGAACACAAAGGTACGCTTCAAATAAAGTATTAAGTTATGAGATTGTGGTTTCCATTCACGTAGCCTGAAGACACGTTTTGTGCAATACTTAGAATCCAAAAACAACTTCACTTTAAATTAATGTTATGTTTACAATGCAGCTTCTATCTCTATTCTACTTATCGCATCTCTGTAACTTAAATGTCATAAGACCATGATGCTTTATCTTCAGATTTGTTGAAAGCACTGTGATAGCTCGGGTTGTATTAGGTCATTGAAATCTCAAAAGAAAACTGAAAGATTGACCATTAAAGTAAACAATTCTTAGATATATTACTGCGTAAAAGAATTCGGAAATAACGTTTGTTATTTCAGGAGATTTCTAAGCAAATTCCAATTATCTGCATTTAAATGCACGTCAATATATATATACATATATATATAATTCTTTATAATAATTTTCATTTAGTAGTGTGCATCACTCTAAACTGCTTTTGTAATAAGATATATCTGTTTAATAAGCAAAAGACCACAGTCTGGCAGTTGATTTCACACAACAGAGAGCCGTATTAGTTTTCAAAATGTTTTCAACAGTTTTGTTGATTTGTTGATGTCAATGAGAAATTTTTATTGGTTAGTTCTTGATGGTGACTGCATAATAATATTTTTCTTACCGATATTAACAGCTTCAGGATAATACTCTACAATAACAGTCCATTTTGCTATGAATTCAAAACAAAGTCTGTCACGTTAGAAATTTATCACAATTTTTAAGGAGCAAGTTTGGAAAATCTTTACAATACCCTAAAATCAAATTAAGTGCGCAACGTAATTTAACAACTAACTGGATCAAAATCTAATTATATACTCAGCATTTTCATTGAGTAGAGTGGATAAAAACTTTATTAATTAAAAAATAAAACATAATTAAATAGGACGCTGATTCTTCAAGCCCTATCTTCTCCTGCTGAGAAACTGGTGAAATTCACTGCACGTTCGGCGTGAATTTGTCAACAGAAGACCTCGTTTCCAAATCTCATCCCCCTCTAGGTATTTTAGTTAAATATGCCCAAGTGAAATTGAATACCAGAAATGTACTTGTACTTAATGCTGTTATGCATGAAAGAAAGGGATAGGAAAAGATGGGGGGAAGGAATTCTGCATTTTAAGTAGTCGATTCACATTTATGAAAATAAATACTATAACCTCAAAGGCAATTGTTACGCTAAATTAGTTAATATTTTTGTTACAAAATAAACTAATAGCTTTTAAAATGGTTCCGCGTAAATTCCTAAAATATTCAGAATAGAATTTAATTCAGGAAGAAATAACCTGTCTTCAAGTGATAAATAATGCATAACAGCAAGTTTCTTTATTAATTTTACATTAAGAGTAATGCAGGAACAATACCTGATACAAAATTTGCCACTCTTAAATTAAATTCCATAATAATAAAGCAGATCTATTTTTAAAAAATAGTCGATAAGTAACTTTTGAGACATAAATCCTGCAGTAAGAGATATATTTATGAAAAATGGAAATTCTTCATATAAATTATATATTAAAATTTTCTGATAGTCTTTTATGAGTTTATCTGATAAAGTTCTAAAAAGAATTTCTCGAAGTTTTAGAATCTCAGTTTTAAAGTAGGATTCTTACGCTTCTTACTTATTCTTTTTTATCATTGAATTTGAACTGTTTAAAAAGACAAAGTGCTTACTATTCAATATAAATTGCTGTGCTTGGTCAAATTTAAAATTTAAAATATAATTAATATATAATTTTCTCATAAATATGAACTTTTTATACATATTTCTCAGACACATTTATTAAGAAATTATATATAAAATCGACCATGCTAAAAACTATACATGAGCCTTTCATGCATATTTTCCAGAGGCATTTATTAAGAAATCATATGTATGTTTGAGGAACTTTTTTAGTATTTAAAATAGCTATTAAGTCTTCAGGGAATTTAAAAATAAGAATTAGTTTTTGGTTTGTTAGTGAAAATATTTTAAGAAAGCTTCTTCATGATCACTCGTCAGTTGACGTTGATATATGAATAGTCAATTAATTCCATTACTATTGTATTAAAGATTATGCAGCCTGTTTTCTAGAAATTTAGAATTTATTACTTTGCATGAAAATATGTGCACGAATTTTAAATTTCAGTTTTTCTTAAATTTTATAATTTATAACAAGGCGCTCTGAATAACTAAATAGAAATTTTATTTTTTTTTTCAACAAAGTCAAATTTTCAGCAAATTTTTTAATTTTTATAATTTAAAAAAGGCACTCTGAATAATATAATAAAAATTAAATTTGTTTCCACATAGTAGCAGTTTTTTACGAGAATCCTTTTTTTAAAAAATTTAATCTACCTTTATTTGCTGTTATTCTCTTAACAAGAATTCACACGCGAGAAGATAATTCCATAGTTGTAAATGGATGCGAATGAGAGAATTGAATTTAGTTTAATCATAAAATGATGTCATTTTTGGCGGCATATAATTATTTTAATCAATGATGCATAAAAGTCGAATAAATAGGGTATGTTATTTATAATACCTCAGTACAACAGCTCATATTCTTACTAAGAAAGAACTTCGAATTTTAGGATCTCAAAATGTTTATAGTGAAAAACATTTATTCTTCTTCAAGTATTTAAGCAAAATAATATGTATTTCAATCCATTTCTTACATTAAAAAATCAGTTTTGTTTATTGAAATGCTTTCCATAATAAAAGAGATACTGAACAATTAATTTACTTGACGTTTTAGAACATATATTTTAATCTCTTCTGTCTTCTTTTATTAATTATTTAATTTTTAATCTTAAGCCGAAAGCAATTTTGCTCCTTTTATTCAAAATTTTATAAAATAAAAGGAGAAAAAAGCTTTTTTTGCCAACTCATACTATAGCCTAGCCTTTACCTTACAAATACGAATTTATATTAAACGGTTTCATATAATTAGTTTCCAACCACCACATAACGTACATGTAATGAGCAATAAGATGTGATTTTTTTCATAAATATTTCTTTTTTCCATCTATCTCTCCCCACTCTCTTTATCTTTCCATCTATCTGTATCCAATTCTATGCGTATATTTATAAATAACATATTAGACTTTTTAATTTAAAACCAATGATAGTATATTTTGGTTTACAGAGCTAGGATATTCTAGTTATATAAGCTATAGCTATATTACATTCACTTGATCAAAGAAAAACTGAATGAAATTTTTTTATACTTACTGCTGCTTCTTCTTCATCGTTTACAGGAAAAGATAGAGAAGGAAATAGTAAACAACATACTACAAACGCTGGAATAATTATATTCAACATCATAGTTAGCACATGTAATATTTAAAAGTTTGAACTTGTCTTCTTGCAGAAAGAGCAATCCTGTAAAGAGGTGTTCAGTCAGAGCGATGATTTTTTTAAACCTCACGATTCCGCGTTTGTTTCTAAACTGAGAGCTCGTCTGCAAGCAGCAATTCTTATGAAGGTCTCTTGTGGCAACATCAACGCTCACTCACGTTGATTCATTCATTTCCTTTTACAAACACTGGACAGGGCGAAAGTCAGAACGACCACAGATCATACTCATTCATTAAAAGGTCGCTGAATTTTAATTTCTCTGTACTTGTCATTCGATAATTTTCCGCTTCCTACCTGCAAGAAGGAAGCGTTGCTCGGTTGCTGGCTGTAAAAAAAAATGCGGTTTAATGTTAATTCGTTCCGTCAAACAATTTAATCGTATTAGGTATTTATATTCACACGAACGCTTAGTAAAAACAGATAAGAAAATAAACTAATTCATTATGGGCTTTTATATTGGGATCTGCAAAACATTATTGCGTTTTCCACTCGCAAATCGTATCTTCCACGTCTGACTGCGGTTTCCGCTTGTTTTAAAATTTTCTGAATAACCTGAAGTGGGTTACTTCGATTTCTGAAAAGAAGTTGATCATTGTTGAAGCAAGTGAAAATAAATCAGCTATCGAGACAAGACGCAACACACTTAATAAAACTTTAATAAAAAATCTGGAAATTTTTATTTTTTAATGTAAAATATGTGTCGTAATTTGAAATAATTGAAGAAAAATGTAAAAATAAATTTTTATTCTTTGGTTATGGTTAAACTTTTCCTTATTATTATTTCTTTTTATTAATGAAATAAAGTCATATTAATTGCTACAAAAAGGAATGTTTATAAAATAAAAAAACAAGTACAATTGCAATGATTTTAATTTTGTCTCAAAATCCTTTCATCAAGTACTTTCAAATTACGTTTAGGGAAAACATAAAAATAAAAAAAGAAAGAAAAACGAAAAGAAAAAACATAAACTCCCATGGTCGTATTGTTTTTAAAAAATAAACTCTTCAGTTTTTCGAAAACTACATGATAGATGGGACTGACGAAAAGCGCGTAAATTTGGGGTCTCTAATTTTTCACATAAATGCATGTGGATTTTAGTTAAATAGAACGAAGGAGCTAAAAACCCACTTGCTTATAGAAAAGAATGTAATAAAGGGTGTATTTTCTATACACGCCAATATAAAATAGTATTAAAATAAACATTCTACATAAAAAGAGTTATTTTGCTCCATAAAAATTAATCAATTCATAATTATAAAGCGGAGTTAAAGAACAAGTTAAAAATATCATACCTTTTTCTTGACATTATCTGTATTCAAAGAATAAAATATTGATTGCACTTTGTGCATAAAAGTAGAACAAATGTACCGTCTATGAACATAGTTATAATTTAACCGCAATTTTGAGGGAGGTGAGAAGTTGTAGAGCATTTAGTACAGATAATTATGCTTTGATGCGTATTATTCCTTTAAAATTAATTCTGATATATGGGCAGAGTAACGCTTTGTTTATCAGCATTTTCTAAATAATCGACGATTTCAAATGCAAATTAATTACAAGCATAAAGATAAAGTTAAATAAAAGGAACTGCTTAAATTTGAGTTCGCCTAACTCGAAGTAGCATAAATTATTGTATTATAAAGTAAATGAAAAATGAATGATTTACTATATAGGATGTGAGCAGGAATGCTAAAAGATTAAATAGCAGCTTAGTTTGAGTAGAGTAATCGCTAATTTTAATGCTTCTATAATCAATTTTGGTAAGGAATGATATTTGGTAAATGTGTGCTCATTATTATAGACTGCACATTTATATATATATATGTTAGGTGAAACACCGAAATCTGGAGAATGTCGACTTTCACCGGTGAATGTCAACATTCACATAGTCGCTTGGTGTATGTCCGAAATATTTTCCAAATACTCTTATTTCTGACTTACACCAGTGAATGTCGACATTCACCATGTACATTCACAACATTCACCATGGTGAATGTTGTCTATGTCACCATGGTCTATGTTCAACATTCACCATGGTGAATGTTGAACATATAAGAATATTATATTTCCTTATCCGTAATTCTTTCGCGAATAAACGCACTTGAGACTCAGAATAAGAACTTAAGAACATTAAGAACTTAAAACACACAGTACATTCAAAATGAGAAAGGAAAATAATAGAAGTTATAAACTTACTAAATTATGTGATTCAAATCTTATTTATTGCAACAACTTAAACTATTTTGACACTTTGAATTGCACAAGAGGCCCTTGCTTTTACAACTGCATTTATTTGTGGAACACTTCCTTTTGGAATGGCAGCGTGTACATATATATACTCCTCTCTTTTCGACCTACACCAGACCATATCTGTGATTGTCGACATACACCGGTGAGGGTCCGAATGTACAAGAATGTAAAGAAATATTCGATCTTTCACCGACGTATTTGGTGAATGTTGACATTCTCCGGTGAAAGTCGACCTTCTCCAATTTCGGTCTTTCACGGTAACATATACATAATGTGTGTGTGTGTTTAAGATAAAAAGTACGTTAGTCGAAATTTTAACTTTAATTTTCAATACTCCCCTGGTTCTCCGTTTTAATTATTTCCGTTTTTGGTCCTAGAAATTGTATGTACGTATAATAAACCTCTCTAAGCAGCATAATATCAAAATTAGTCGCTGTCATATGATTCTTGCATAAAGCTAATGACGCAGGGACTTACATAAAGCTTCAGCCAGTTAAAAAATTTCTTGACAACTGAAACTCTTAACAATTATTAGGTATTAATCTGAACTCATACTGATTTTTTCTACACGGGACATTCATTTTGGACACATCGCATTCGCTCTCTGCTTCTTTGTCTAGATAGATTGCGGTCAATGCTTTTCTTACAGCACCTTCTAAAAAAATCATTCAAGATTGGAAGCGCTTAGCAACAGATTATTAGTTATAAGGTATTTTTCCCGCCTTCTTGGCGTGCCTTCGTGGATTGGTGGTCTGCACGCTGGGCGCGTATTCCAGAGGTCCGTGGTTCGATTCCCGGCGAAGGCGCTGTTAAGTTTTCAATTCTCCTGCTTCCAATTAACCTAATGTCTCTACAGTGGCTCTCGAATTAAAAGGGTGTTGGATGATGATTCTCCTCACCCAGGACTTGACGATTGGGTCCCTTAAAAACCCCAGTCGCTCTTTAAAAGGGGGACTATATAAGGTATTTCTGCCGCCTTCTTATCGTGCCTTCATGGTATGGTGGTCATCATGCTGGGAGCGTATTCCAGAGCTCTGTGGTTCGATTCTAGGCAAAGGCGTTGCTAATTTTTCATCTCTCCGGCTTTTCCAATTAACCTAATGTCTCTACACAGTGATACATCACAAATAAGTGTTTCTTAGCGAAAATAAAAAATATCAAACCAGGCCATGTCTGCAACTAATTCTTTACCCATCTACGTATTTTCAACGTGCGAATTATTACATATACATATGTATTACGTTCATACAGGTTTTTATATAGAGAGATAAACAATAAAATCTGAAATGAAATTCGACTCATCAGTTTCCGAGCGGTAAAGTCGCTTGACACTGGTAGCGACACTAGTAATCTAATTTAAGTCAACGAGCTGGTTGCATGGACGTTTTCGTGGTTTTCCCTATGTGTAACGTGTTTACGACCCGTGTTTCCCTTAGACTGTCCTCCACGAAGTCATCCTTCCCTTTAGGCAGATAGCCCTCGAATGATTTGACATAATCAAATAAACCAAACCAAACTGAAATGGAATCTTAAAATAGGGACAGGAATTTATGTATAGTAATTTTTCTACCTTAAAACAGCGTTCGTAATCAAATGGCATCTCCGTCATTAAGATGTTCCCAGTTGTAAGTTCATTATTTTTGTTTTTTGTAAATAATAGTTCTTACTTCTAATTACCCCGTTTTGTTTAGGGTTGGGCATGTTCCTGATTAGTGCAACATCACTAGATTGCTTCCCCTACATCTTCAGAATTTTATTTTAGACGAATCGTAAAACCTCAAGTTTTGATGAGGAATTCAACCAAAATCCTCCTTTCCCGGCAGTCAGTTTCTCTGCGATTGAACTACTGAATCTAATAACAATTTTCTGGTAATTTCCAAATGAAATATCCCCGTCTACGAGTGCTGTTGAACGATGTTATCGCGAGTGAATGTGATCTGACCGATTGTGGCCTTCAGAGAATTATGTTGAGAATTCTTATTAAGAAATGCAAGCATCGATCTAAGTACGTGTTCCTAAATAACTACCATGAATTTTTGCAGAGAGACCATATTTATTAATTGAACATTTATGAAAATTTCATTCCAAATTCATCGGAGGTTGTGATAATTTTGTCATAATTTGTATGACATTTTTATAGCAATAAGCAATATTTCATCACATGTGCTATCTAAAAATTTCAAATGATTTTTAATCTTGGTCTTACGTTTAATTATTAATTTAAAAAATCTGAAAATTTTTATGTCTCAAAAAATTACTTTTACTTTTTCCTTATATGTATGTTAGTAAGAGGAGGTTTCTAAGATAACCAGCAAAAGCTGAAATTATTTAATTAAGTATTAAATTTTTTATCGCCTTATTTCGCATAGCTGTAAAGTTATGCATGTCCGTATCGTTAACCGTAACAAAGCAAGTAAAATGTTTTATAATGTAAAATAAAACTGGGCGTTAAAAAATACTTTTTTACCCTTGCTTTCAGCAACTTCAATTTTCAGTCTTAAATCAGCCTCCTTTGCTTCGGCTATATGTATTCAAGAATAATTTCATTTGATACGCTGATTTAGAGAGCCTTGGCTTTTTATGCTTACTATAGTATGCAGAAATAACTCCTTTTTCTTTACTTTCATCAGTAGTGAGTTACATAAAGTTTTCTAAAATATTTTCCCATTCAAACTTCTTCACATTCTTGTTTGCACCCAAATTTCCGTCAAACTGAAAATATACCAGATTCACACCGGATGACAAAACGAGCGTCCGTTTCCGCGTTAAAAATGAGTCTGTCTTAAAGAGTAATATTAATGATATAAAGGCATTTTCTAGATCCTTTATTTCTTCCGTGATAAAATATTTGAGCTCTATACAGCTTTTCTCTTAGAAGTATAGTTTATTAGGCTCTATTAC